TTTCAGTAAATACAATGAATGTGCATGTATATTTCATTATGTTCTTAATTAACAGAATAAAATGATACACGACTATTTGCAGTGTGGTTGGTATGTTATATGTTTATATGTATGTGTATATATGTGTGTGTGTATATATATATGTATGTATAATACACACAGGACCTTCCCCTTACCATAAGGTTCATAAAATACTGAATATTCATTACTTGGTTCTATGTTATACTTATTCCATGCAAGAAAACCCTACTGCCTTCCCCATTACCATTCCCAAAGCACCTTGATAGAACTGCAATAGTTTGCTAATTAAATAGCAGAAAAAAAGGAAGGGAGCAAGGGTGGGAGGGCAAGGAAGGGAGTAAGGGATGGATGGCTGGTGACTGATTGAGTAAAATATAGAAATGACAGATGTAAGATGAATTTATATCTAAAGATAAATAAGTATTTTATATATATCAACCTCTTAATCTACCTGGACAAATCAGATTATATTGCAGGGATTTGGCACAGCATGGTGGTAGAGTAAAATGAGCACTGGATTTGGATTTACAGTAATGGGGTTTTAGATTCACAATAACTGGTTCAATTGCTAACACTACTCCTTGCTAGTAATCTTATCTATATTGCAGTTTCTTCACTGTGTATAAGATGCCAAAAGAGGTTAAGATAAGTCTAGATCTAAGATAAGCTATCCTGCCAATCATAGACTGTTATTGTGAGGCTCAACTTCTAATAATGTTTATGAAAAACAATCACACTTGTAAATTATTTTTAAAACCATATGAGGCTGACCAGTAGGTCTATATTTGTTCATATTTCATTAATTTAACGGATAGCGGACTACTGATGCAATAAAAAGAGAAGAAAAAATTTGAAAGTTTTGTTAAACTTAATTATTAGTATTTATAGACCAGTCTGCTTCTGACTTTAATAACTTCACATGTTAGAAAAGGAAATAGTAATTAAGTCTAAAAATCCCAAGTTAACCATTATAAATGAAATTTTATGGGACTAGAACAGAAAAATGACTAGCTTAGAGCTATCATGGATATTAAAATTCCTTTTCCAACTAATAAATCTATCACTTCCAAGTCTGAAACACCAAAATGAAAACAAGTTTCTGAGTTTTTAGGTAAGGGATTTAAAAATAGTTACTGAAAATATCTTAATTAACCTAGTTTAGCAATTTTATGTAATTATAAAATAGATTGCTTTATTTGATTATTTTAAAACTGGGCATGCCTTTTCAAATTTTTCATTTTACAATATCTAAGCTTATATAATTTTAGGAGAAATATGTAGTTTACAGTCAAAAATGCAACCCTAAATGTATAGACAAAATATGCTAACAGATATTCTGTGATTTTTTTATTGAGGTATAATTGTCATGTAACATTAGTTTCAGGTATATAACATAATGATTCAATATTTGTATACATTGAAAAATGATTTCCATAATGAGCCTAGTTGAAATTCATAACCATATATGTTTACAAATTTTTTCTCATATTAAGAACTTTTAAAGATCTCATCTCTTTAATAGCGTTCTCATATATATTGGAGCTTTGGTGGAGGGTGAGTATAGCATGTGCACATATAAAGGTGTGAAGTTATAATACCAAAATTATATAGTTGTGTAAATGGCAAATCAATAAAATTAGAAATGTATATATAATACAGTATTACTATATATACTATGTTGTACATTACATATAACTATATAATATTTATTATATATAACTATATTCACTATATATACTATATATAGTATATAGTATATTCACTATATATAACTATATTCATTATATATAACTATAATATATATATTATATATAACTATATTCAATATAACTATATTCACTTTGTTGTATATTACATCCCAAAAATTTATTTACTTTATAAGTGTACCATTTGACCCCTTTCACCTGTATCACCCACTCCCAATGACCCTTTCTGTAACAATATGTTTTCTGTAACTGAACTTTGTTTTTTGTCTGTTTGTGTCTTTCAGTTTTCTTTTTAGATTCCACCTATGTGTAAGAGCATATGGTTGTCATTCTCTGTCCGACTTATTTCTCTTAGGATAATGCCCTCAAGGTCCATTTCCTTCGTTTTAGATGACTGAATATCATCAAAATTGTGTGTGTCTTTGTGTGTCTGAGTGTATCATACTTTCCTATCCATTCATCCATCTATATATACTGTTTATATATCAAACAAAATAGGTTGTTTCCTATTTTGACTATTGTATATAATGCTGTAATGAGCATGGGGGTGCATATATCTTTTCAAATTCGTGTTTTTATGTCCTTTGGATAAATACCCACAAGTGGAATTTCTAGACCATATGGTAGTTCTATTTTTAATTTTTTAGAAACCGACATAATGACTCCATAGTGACTGCACTAATTTACATTCTCATCAGCAGTGTACTAGGATTCTCTTTTCTTCACATCCTCACCAAAACTTGTTATTTCCTATCATTTTTACAATAACCTTTCTAACTGGTGTGAGGTGATAAATCATTATACTTTTTATTTGCACTTCCCTGATGATTAGTAATGTGTACATCTTTTCATGAATTTGTTGGTCATCTGTATATCTTTGGATAAAATATCTATTCAGGTCCTCACCCATTTTTTAATTGAATCAAGTATTTTTTGCTATTGAGTTGTATGAATTCTTCATGTATTTTGAATATTAACACCTTCACAGACATACAATTTTCATTTTCTCCTATTTGAGAGGTTACCTTTTCATTTTGTTGATGATTTCCTTTGCTGTGTAGGGCTTTTCAGTTTGGTGTACCACTTGGTAATTTTTGCTTTTGTTGCCTTTGCTTTTAGTGGCAAATCTAAAAAAATCATCACCAAGACATGTCAAGTCACTGCATATGTTTTGTTCTAGGAGTTTAATGGTTTCAAGTCTTTTATTAAGGCTAATCCATTTTAAAATTACTTTTTGTGTATGATATAAGATGATAGACTGGTTTCATCCCTTTAAATGTGGTTATTCAGTTTTCCCAGCACCATTTATTTAAGAGATTGTCTGTCCCCCATTGTTTAATTCTTGCCCCTTTTGTTGTAAATTAATTGACTATATAAGCATCCATTTTTTCTGGGCTATATATTCTGCTCCAGTGATCTATGTGTACTTCTGTATGCCATATTGTTTTGATTAATATATATGTGTGTGTGTGTGTACACATATGTGTGTGTGTGTGTGTGTATATATATATATAGATATATAGATATATATCTATATATATATATATAGAGAGAGAGAGAAGTATTCCACTGTGTATATGTTCGTATATACCACATTTTCTTAATCCATTCATCTGTCTCTTGCTCCCAAGATTCAAGGTCCTTCCCAATTTGTACAGTTGTTCTAGCAACATATGCCCTCTAAACCCTCCTCCCCCTGTTCCCTACTCCTGCACAGCCACTGGCTGCATAGCTACTGTGCATTCTGCTGCTGCTGCTGCTGTATTTGCAGCTCCTGCCCCCCTCTCCCAGTTCCCCAGTTGTGCTGCACTGAGGGATTTTTGGTCACTTACTTTCTGTAGTGCAAGTGGTAGTCAAGCATCTTCAGGTGATAAGTTGATAGGAGATACTTGGACTCTTAAGCTGTTTTGTGGATGTCCTTGGTGAGATATTTTCCTCGCTTGGCTTACTCCACCATGTTTTCTGACTGTGTCATCTTTAATTTCTACATCAGTGTGGTTTTCAACATATAGGTCTTTCACTTTCTGCGTTAAAATTATTCCTAATTATTTTATTCTTTTAGGAGTACTTATAAATGGCATTTTCTTAATTTGCTTCTGATAGTTCATTGTGTGTACTAACACAATAGATTTTTGTGTATAGATTTTGTATTCTGCAACTTTGTATTCTGCAACTTTGTATTCTTTATATTCTGCAACTTTACCGAATTTATTAGTTCTAAGTTTCTTGATGGAATGATTATAGTTTTGTATACTATCATGTCATCAGCAAATAGTGATAATTTTACATATTCCTTTCTAATTTGGATGTCTCATTTCCTTTTCTTACCTATTTTCTGTGTCGAAGTCTTCCAATACTATGTTGATTGGTTTTTTTTAATTATGCTAAATTTAACAAGAAAAGGATATATTTTGATTCTTTATTTGACAGATTATATCTACATATGTACTTTAGTTCATGTTACTTTTTAACAGTAATGAAATAGCCAGATTTTCAGAAATACTACCAAGTAGATTTACTATATAAATTTAAGGTTATAAAATCACTGGAAAGGTTTGAAAGAATGTTCAAATTATGCTTTTTCATAGGTCAGATAAATGCTACATATACTGTGTAACTTGTTAGTCATTCATCCTTTTAACCAGAATCACACTAGCATCTACTTCTACATATTTATTCTTCAGTAAATACTTACTGGGAATTGTGCTAATTAGTTGCTGAGTGGAACTAATTTATGGTCCAAATGATAACCCTGAAATAACTTTGGAATCAGAAAAGAAAAACTAAATAATTTAACTATATTTATCATGTGCCATTTTATTTGAATTTCATAATTATCTGCTTATTATAATGACCTCATTAAAATAATACACACATTATTCCTACCTATTCACTAGAATATTTGATTTGGAAGTTTCATTCCCTCATTTTGCTCAAACAAAATGAATTACATTGATGTATTTCAAGTGTTATTGTTGTCATTTTTTCATATTTTTCATTCTTATGAATCTCATTTTTATCCTTTATAGCATATTGTTATTCTATTAGGCAATACCATAACAATACCTATTTTGGGAATAGAAATCTCTTAGTTCCAGGGCATAGCTTTAGAATTTCTACACCATGGGTTTACGTCAATGGATGATAAATCTTTGGTTCTTGAAGATGTCCAACTAGTATATAAAACCCAGTTGTCAAGATAATAACTTGGGTGTTTCTCAGTTTCCACATTTGTTTTGAATTCTCTGCCAAAGCCATGTATTTATCTTTTAGGGGGATGTCATATGAATGAAAATAAGCATATGTCTCCAGATCCCAAAGCCAGAATTTTCAAGCTAATGATAAAGGAAATCAGGAGGGTGAGTACATTTGTAGGAATTATCATTGATATGCATTGCTTCCATATCTCTTTTTTCCTTGGGCTTTTGTAGGAATCTGTGTTTTCGTGAGTGTGCTCTGAGTAAGTCTGTTAGAGGCAGCTGCCCTATTTCCCTCAAGTGACAAATCCAGGAAGCAGTGGGCGGTATGAAGAATGGCAGCAGAGGACAGGGTGGCTCTCTTAGGTTTGCACAGTTAACGTAGATATTAATGACCACCCAGATCATACTTTGTAACTGAATAATATATGAAATGTTCATACTGTGAACAGCTCTGATGCAATGAAGTCAATTTCATTTTAATTATATCTATTAAGAATTTAAAAAATTGTCCTGAAAGCTAAACAGAATTTACAGATTTATATGATTAATTTTAAGTAGCATATTACTCTACTAACTATAAGATTAATCCCTAAAATATAGATGACCATTACTTATAAGCCCTAGCAACTTGCTCTTGTAGCTATGTCTTACTAAATAAACCAAATAACAATAATCTGAAGGTCAGGGACTATAATTTCCAGTCATCCCCAGTATCTAAAATTAGGACTCATGCCTTTCTACTCACACCTTTCTACGTCAAGCTACAAAAGGAAGAGAACAGGCCTCCATTGTGGACAGGGGTAGATGGTTATATTTTGTTTGCAACATTAAAATTGCACTTTAACTTCATATTAATCAAAGACATGGGATTTTTATTTAGCAATTTTTAAATAGTGGAAACCTCTTTTAGAAATAAGTTCATATTTCCATTTGAAAAGTAGATGTCTCAGTTTATCTTTCAAGGTCAGCCTTTATTAAACGCTCCTCTTGTAAGATTCTTGTGAATTAAAATATGAAATTTATAATGTATCTGAAATGTTCTTCTTAATAGAGTTTATTTTTAATAAGATGTAGACTAAAACTATATGGCAATTGAGCAGAGCATTATGAAGCACCATATGGGCTTCTAAACTGAGAAGATGATACACATGGGCCCTGCCAACTACTCCTCTCTGTTGCTCCTTGCGCACCTGCCAGTCTCCCACCGCATCCTGAATTGTGTCATGATACTGGGTGTCTTTGGTATAAATTGCTTAAATGGTGGTCTCTATTTTCCTCAGTAAACATTGCAGAAGCATGAAAGGCAGAAAATAAGGAGAACCCTAACCTTATTAAAAGTCAGTGACCTGTTTCAAATTACAGGACTATTAACAGATACCTTTTTCAAAATGAGCATAACTAGTGACAATTACCTGACCATAATTGGAGACCAGGGCTAGGTGATGAACAGACACTGATGAAATTAACACAGAGCAACCTGATCTAAGCAGCAGCTAGACTAGCCCTGACAGGTACTAATATACAAAAAGAATTGAAGCACACTAGAATTATCTGGTTTCTCTCTCCTATTTATGGTCAACATCTAAGTATTTTGTTCTTCCATAGAAGAGAAAACACTTTCTCTGTTTATGCTTTCTTCTGCTGCCTACACGTAGACCCTTGAGTGTAGATGAGTTTAAGTCATAAGAAAAATAGTTTTGTGAAATATTCATAAAAACATGGGATTGGGGACATACCAACAGCTCAGAGGATTAAACATCTCTGACACCTGTTCTGTTGGCACAAAATCAAGCCTAAGGGAAAATGATGCAGTAGGAGAGGATTTGTTTGATATAGTCTTTCCCACTCACCCTCCCAGTCCATCTTCCTTTCTCTCAGTAAAATGGAGAGGATGACCATTAAAATGCTTTATGCATAGTAATGTTTCAACATTTTAATTTATAATTACAGTTACTAGCCTTGCTTTTCTGCCTAAATTTTCTGTGGCTTTTCAATTCTCTTCATATTTTTTCTCTCTGATGATTCCCCTTGCCTACCTACCCTTCCTTTCTCCTCTTTCTTGTTCTTCTTTCTCTTCATTCCTCTCTTTTTCCTATGATAGACAAAGAGGTAGAGTTACAGTAAAAAGTAACCATTAGAGTAAAAAGGAAAAAGTGATACAATAACTATGTCTCATTTTATCATTTACTATCTGTGTAATATTTACTATCTGTGTAATTTCCCCTAGTACTTATTTACTTACAATTGTAAGTATACCCTCTGACCAACATCTCCCAATTCCCCCAGTTTACAGCCCCTAGCAATGATCACTCTACTCTGTTTCCATGAGTTTGGCTATTATGAGTACACATTTAAGTGAGATCTTATAGTACTTGTCTTTCTCTTCCTGGCTCATTTCAGGAATTCCTTCAAGGTCCATCTATGTTGTTGCAAATGACAAGATTTCCTTCTTTTTACCGCCAAATATTTCATTGTGTTTGTATATGTGTGTACATACACCACATTTATGCATCAACAGACACTTTGGTTGTTTCTATGTCTTGGCTGTTGTGAATAATATGATATTTATAATTTTATCATAATTAAGTACTATATTGCTGGGAGTTTGTTTCTTTTCACCCTTATATATGCCTCTTTAGAAATAAGTTATTAGATAGGCCTTTTTTTCTTGTCAATAGCTATTATTTCCTGAAATAACACTATCAGGATTATTATATATATTTCCATGAAAGTGAGAATTGAAAAATGGAAAGCCACAGTTAGAAGAATAAAGGACAGAATTTAAAAAAAAAATGTAACCAGGTATCTCTCTCTTTCTATCTCTCCCCATTCCTCCCACTCTGCTAATGGCTACACCTTTTCCATGGCTGTAGCTCCCACCAAATAAATCTACCCTCTGGGGTCCCAGCTTCTGTTTCCTGGTCCTAGTCCCCACCACATGGGCCCCAGTAGTGTAATGAGCTCTGGGACTGGGAGCAGCACCCAGTAATAGCTAACCTCTGGATTGCTTCACTCTCCCTCTTCACTGCCTTTCATCTTCCAAGATTAATGTAACCTGTTCTCTCTAAAACTTGTTCCATCTGAAATATCTAGAATGGTTTCCATATTCCTGATTGTACTTTGATAAATACAAATATTATAATTGAAAGAGCCATACAAATTAAATTAAAAGACATTATGTTATGTGCTCAGTATGACTAATTATCAGGAGAATTTGGGTTAGGTCATTCAATCTTGAGTTTAATCATAAAGTGTCTTTATGACTCAAATATCCAAGTTTACAGTGAAATCTCTCTAACTCATTTCTATTAGCAGATCTGTCACATTCATAAAAACACTTCATTCCTCTGTAAAACATACTGACCAATTCCACAGAACAGTGAACAGGAAGAGCCGGCAGTCTTCTTTCCAGGAGTGTAGATTCTGATATGTGTTCTTACCAGTAGTTTATTTCAAGACCTCTTTATGCAAGTAATTAATATAATTACATAACATAATAAATGAGTGACAGAGGTCAAATTACTTTGATGACTTTTACCAAGTAGAAATGTAAGAGAAGGACTAGAAGCAAGCAGGAAGTGACCTGTTGGAACAGTCATTCCTAGTCTCCTTTGTGTGCTGAGGTAAGTCCTTTGAACTGGTCCTACAACTCCATTCTGCCAATAAAAACAAAAAAGAGAGAGTATCCAAATTGTCTCCCCTTGCTACTAAAGTAAGTACTGTAATCATCTCTTATCTGCAAGTGGCTGATCTGAGAAGCAACACACCAGATATAGATAGGATATAGGAAAGGGGCGGGAGAGAAGTGGAAAATCAGAGGCATGAAGTGCTAAGAAGACGGCCTACATTCCCATTGGGTGCTGTTACAAGGATGCCCAAGGATCTCTACAACACAGCTAGACAAAAGGAGAAAGTGGCACACTTAAAACCATTTTGCTTCCCCTCCCCCAAGAGGATACTCACTGGATAGATCTATACCCAAAGTAGGGCATTATATCTGCTGTAGGAAATAAGGCACTAAAAAGAGATTGAGTTTAATTTATCCCATATCAGAGGTCTGTGTATTAGGAGGCTACTAGTATCAGGCCCTGTGAACAACAATCAGGCATTCCACAAGAGTGCCAACATTTGAAAGCCTGCCATACAGATGGAAGCCACAGACAGCATTAGACAAACTATTTCACAACCACCCACAGGAGTGGTTCTCATCCAAGAGCAAGAGTTATAAACAAACAAAGGGCATATAGACAACTACTTGCTGTACGTCATTGCTGTAAGGCTAAATCTTTTCCCCTTCTTCATCTAATCAATACCAGAGGAGCAAGGGCAGAAAAGAAGAAAGGGGTGCTAGTAATCAAAATAAAATGTTTCATTAACTATAAATAGAGGAATGTTTTGAGATTTACTGAAATGTTATTGAAGGAGTCCAATACTGAGCAGAAATGATGGTATCTTAAAAGAACAAATACTGAAAAAGTAGTAGAAATTAACCATTTACCTCCAAGTTGACCTTTTACTAATATGGTTAATTTCAAATCTTTTTTGTAATTAACTTTTTATTGAGGTATTATTGGCTTACAACACTGTATGTTTTAGGGTTGTTAGTTCATACCTCTTCAAATGTATGTTACTACACCACACCAATAATCCTCCATCACAGGCCATGGGACATCTCTGCCCTTTGCTCCCCACTCTCTCACACTTCCCCTCTTGGAATAATTATTTGTGATTCTATCTTTAACAGATTTTTACAACTAATTGTTGGCTAGGCCTTCTTCTATAAATGAACACACATTGTAAACTATAAAACTGCAAATGGAAAGAAATTATCAGGGATTATTATGAGTAAATATAAAAATAGGATGTAACAAAAGTGACTTACAGACATTCATAGTTGATCATTGCACTTGCAAAACACAGATACATTTGTATAACTTGACTGTTGGGTTGCCATCCCATTTTAGAGTTCCTTGTCTAAATTTCCAGCCTACCCTTTTTAATCTATCACCTTCTTGATGTCTGTGTATCCCTAGCAGAATTCCATCTCCTAAAACGAATCTGTCCTCCAAAAGAGTTGCAAAGTCACAGGAAACCAGCTGAGGCGGATACTATTTAATCCTCTATCTTGTGCCTTCCTACCTTTGATGATGAGCCTAGGA